GGAGACCAATGTATTATGATACTTCTGATGAAATGAATCTACTTCCTGATCCGATGAAAAACCGACAGCTCTCAGAATTTCCGAGACTCTATCTCTCTCTCCTCTCGCTCTCTCCCTCCTCTTTCTGTCTCTCAATTTTCTCTCTCTCTCTCTCCATCTCACCCTCCTCTCTCTCCAATTCTCTCGCTCGCGCGCTCTCTCTCTCTCTCTCTCTCCAATTTTCTCTCGTGTGCGCTCTCTCTCTCTCTTCTTTCTCTCCCTCTCCATTTCTCTTACACGTCTCCATGTGCTTGCCACGTAGGTGTTCTCAGACCTCCGTCCGTAGAGGGCTACGCCAGCGCCACCGTCAAGAAAATGATCAGTTACGACCGCGAGCACGTGGTGACGCACAACGTCTACATGAAGCGCGTCGCCACGGTACCGACGACGACCGGTGTCGTCGCCGCGCCGAAGGAGAAGCTGCAGACGCTGACGANTATATAATAATGATATATTATAGAGATCAGTGAACCGCTCTCACGCAACCGTACAAACTCGGTACGATGTCCGAAGCAATCCCGTTTGCTGGACAAAGGAATACGACAACAAAACACAGAAAATAACCGACAAGAAGACATTAGACCATGGTTGATAGTCAAACCTTATCATCAGCCGGTGACCACCACAGCGAGTGTTCCGCAATCAGTAGCTCAACGTACCTCCCACTCCTACGGCAGAGTTTGTTGCTATAGAATATTGAGAATTTGTCTGTTTTCTAGGAATTAAAAGGTTTAATTTTCACGACGGAGAAATTTAAGCCGGATACAATCTTTGCACTTCGTATCATAATATGGTCGTATCATCGTAATAATAGTATATATCGTATCATATCAAGGACTAGTGAACGAACTCTTGCACGAAACAAACTCTGTTGCCTCAAAGGGAAGACAAAACGCGGGATCGAATTCAAGGGCTTACTACGACAAAACAGCAATGGCCTGTTTTACAGAACTATCTAAACCTGGAAAATGGAATTTTAACATTCCAAGACTTTCTAGGTTTTCCTTGACCTGCATATATAAAGCCTGTAATAGACGAACATCATTGTACTCGACGCGGATGCCCCAGCTAACATATCTTTACTGATTAATGACAGCAATAAACATGGTAGCAATAAACATGATAGCATAAACATGATAGCATAAACATGATAGCAATAAACATGGTGAAGGACATTCAAGCATACTTGGAACAATTCCAACAATCAGATATAATCTGGCAGATGGACAATCACGCTTAGGGGGAGGGGGTTGTCTCTCTTAAGGGCCGGACACACCAGGCGATTGCATCGGGCGATGGCATTGCCCGATTCTTGCGCGCGCAGTGCGATTGGCTGATGAACTCTGATTGGCTGATGAATTGTACAATCGGGCGATGTTATCGCCGGTCGCGGACACACCAGGCGATTGCATCGGGCGATGGCATCGGGCGATGGCATCGGCCGATGGCATCGGGCGATAATATCAAAACGTTTTGATCTGTGCGATGGCATCGGGCGATGAAATCGGCGGCGATTGAGTGGACACACCAGGCGATTTTCACGGCGATGCCATCGTTAGCAACAAGAAAGTTGCAGAGATGCCAACCCTGATCATTGAGAGATGTAATGATTTTTTTTGATTGCCGAAGGCAACCACAGCAAACGCCGAGGGCGTTTGGTGTGGTGGGTTAAGGGAGGGTGGTGTCCCCCTTTAAAAAAGGAGGTCATTTGGTGCATCCTGGAGCCATCTGGGCATTGATTTGAATCGTTTCAAACTGAACCATTTTCCTCCACAAAATACAAATATTCACCAAAACTGTAGTGAATGTGATGCATGTAATTCCGACAAACATAAAACACATTGCTTACCATGCAAAAATCCTGTACAGGGCACACAATCAGTATCACAAAATAAGCCCTTCATAGACCACAGTCAGTGTCACACAAAGTCCACAATCTGAATCAGTGTTACAAATCCTAAATAGACTGAGCCCTTCAAAGATCAATCACAAAAGTATCACAAAATAAGCCCTGCAAAGTACTCAGTCAGTCTCACACAAAGTTCACAATCGGTGTCAGAAATCCTAAACATACCTCCAAACTCCACAGTCAGTGCCACACAAAGTTCACAATAAGCGTCACACAACGTTCACAGTCACTGTGCTAATTTAGCAGCAGTTGCTTGCTTGGCCTTCTTTAGGATGTCGTTTGATATCTGTGCTGTATGACAGACTTTGCCACTGGACTGGAAGCACATCTTGTGGGTAACGATACTGCTGAGGACTGCGGTACTCGAGTTGGGCCTGAATTTGTTTTTGTTCTTCGTCACGACACTGAATATTCTCTCGCTGTCGGCATTGAAGTGGAAGGTGGTCAGCACAGCAATCATGACGTCAGCCAGCAGGTCGTACTTCTTCTGGCCATCCGCATCCTTCACGGACTTCATGTGGCACCAGATTCGGTCAACCCGCTCAAACTCTGGGCAGTCATCTACTTGATAATTCCGGAATTGACCTTCAAGTTGATCCATAAAATCTGGTTTGTTTGGTGACAAGAGACAAGAAAACCTGTCTGTGAAGTAGCACACAGAGATGAAGTCCTTGGCAATTCTCAGCTTCGGATCTGCCACCTCCGTGTGTACCACAAGTTCATCGTTGAACGGGAACTTCTTCACCATATAGGTGGTGGCCGTGATGTAGAAATTTCTCACATCTGTGAAGAACTTCTGTAATTTGATGTCAGGGTTGGTCTTCATGTAATCCTTTGCTGCTTTGCCAATAAACATGTCGGTACAGTCCACCCTGGTGAGGTCACCGACAAGGTGATCTGGCTTAGCAAACCGGATAAGGACTTACCTCAGTTGTTTCATCAGGGTTCTCTGGAGGAGGTGAATGCTGGGTTCCTCCTTCTGAAGCACTAGATTAGCTTGCTCAAACAGTGGTATCGCAGCTTGTAGAAACAGACAGTACAACTGGTTGTTCTTGTGCGAAAAGGACAAGCATGCGATAGCTTTTCTGGATAAAACCTTACCCTGTAGACGTTGGGGGGCACAGGGGTCAAAATTAACGGTATCCCGATATCCGCGGTATAGTAGATTCTTGTGTTGGATACCAGATTTCAATGCTTAGTATCCCGCCGGGATAGTAAAAAAAAAATCGTCAAAATCGGGATAGTGGTTGTTGAGCATATTTGCAAACGCAAGCGTTTAAGTGTAGCCGATGTTGATCATAAATGTGATGTGTATACATTGTATCAAGTGAACCAGACAATGCGTCTAGACAATACGTCTGCAGTGTACTTGTCTGTGCATATCTGTGAATCTGTTTTCATGTTTTTATATAATAATTACATTACATATTAATAATTTTCAAATGCTATTATTGCATATTTCAAGATTTTGGATACCAACATTGCCAAAATTACTATCCAAAAAATGGGATACCAGATCTTTGGGGGGGGGATACCAGATTTCAATACCTGGTATCCCGAATGGATACCATAATAAAAATCTAATTTCGACCCCTGGGGGGGGGGGTGCAACTACGCTACAAGACCTTACTGCAGCTACGATAGGAAGGTGTCAAGCGTACAGGGTACACACACCAAGTTAAGCACTGCCACGATAAACGCAGGACAACCAGCCCCTGTCACAATGTCCATAAATATTAGTCTTCGAAGTCCAAGGGACTATACATCGAAGACAGAAAAATACAAAGTTGAACAAGTAGACGGATCATCACTGCGGATCACAGTAAGAAAAGCCTCAAGTTTGTAACCAACTAAAGAGAATTCCAATACGGTATGACAGAGACAAACAAGCTATGCTTAAAGAGATCATTTGAAGACGGCACGTGTCAAAAGCAATGATCACGCTCAGATGATCGGGTGCAATGAACAGGCTTCATCAAGCACGAGGGAATGTCAATCTTCACCTGACCATGGTTCCAGCACTGACACAAACGTGCAGGGAGGCACACCTGCATATAAAACATCTGGATGAGAGAAAGAGAGAGCGAGAGAGAGAGAGAGAGAGAGAGAGAGAGAGAGAGAAACAAACGAGTACGGTCAGAAATGCCTTTTGAAATCATTGCTTTAACACCAGTCATCAACGCGCACGCGCGCTTGTGGTTCAACTTATTGCAGCACTTATTGGTCTCTTATTGCAGCAGTCACCAATAGCTTGCTGCCCTCAGCTCGGGCCGGTATTCGCGCAAACATATCACATGCACATACATACCTGTTTTATACACATGTTAGCAGTGTCAGAGCCAGTATAGTATGTCTGAGAAAGCCCACATAGTAGTATCGGAGAGTAGGCTTACTCTATATCAATTGATGGTGACGTAGGTATCATGTGTGGAATATTGTGAATAACGTGCAACACCTTTTTTTTCGACTGAAAAGGGATGTATGCGACAAATTGGGGAAAAATGCGATAAATTTCAACTTAGTAATCGCTGGGCAGATGGAACTGCGATAACAATATTAAGCATAAAGCTGAATAAATATGATATAAATATAAATATGATATAAATATTTCTTTAGGACAAGTAGGAAAATACGGCGCAGGGGAGAGGAAAATTATAAGGGATGGATTAAACAGCTCCAAGCTGCAACAGGATATGCGAAGGCCACTGTCGCAACATCTGTGCATGCCAGCGAAGCTGCAATGACTGTCCCACGTACCCATGAGCACTGTGCTCGCTACTCCAACAGGTGGAGATGGTGCACAAGTAAGTAGGAAGGAATAGTTAACATGTGAACGAATATTAGGTTTAAGAGAGACACGTCGTTGTGGATGAATAAACGATGCCATGTAAGTGAGAAACAGGTGCTCGTTAGTTTTAACATGATTTCTAATGTGAATTAAACATGCCAAGACTATAACTAACACATTCTAAAACAACTACTCAACCTACCAATAACACCACACTGGCTTAAAAGTTGAAACAACGAAATCGAGTACGTCAGAACTATAGAGTTTTTTCCTAACACAGTGACCTTTAATTCAGTTTCTAATAAATACAAGGATGTCTTGTAATCGTAAATAATCGGTGTCTTATACACCACAACAGAAAAACGACATAAATTAACTGGTTATTGGAATAACATATTTGTAAAAACAACAGTTTTAGCAGAAAACTTTAAATGCACACTGTCCAATTCGTCTTAGATCTGTTGCCAACATTTCATAACAAATCAAAGAGATAGAATGAAATGCGTTTACATTGCCACATAACCGTTACACTGATTGCCATGCAACAAGCACTTGTTGAGACATAAATTGGATGAAACACGAATAAGATTTTAGATTGACATCAGATCTATAATACGAGATGGCATTAAAGTTAGCCATTAACAAACACCGTTATATGTATGTTATATATAAAATAGAACGCACACTTCTTACGTAAGCGTGCGCGTTTACATGTGCATATCGTCCTCACAAGTTCCTGTGCCTTGGACTGTGCCGAGAGAAATTGAATACTACGCCTAAAGACAGTTATTATACGCGTACCTGGTTATTTCATGCATTTCCAAAAATCTAGTAAATGGTGTTGCCATTGAGCATGTATCAAGCTAGTAATATATATAAATATATATAGGCACTGATATTAATGCTTTACATTTGACACAATGACAATATTTATGGCACTGCTAAGCTCATTTAGAAATGATAAGATGGGTTAGAAACCCGGGGAAAATCACGAATCATATTTATCCCTTGGCCAGACTTCGAGGCTTTGATACATATACGATAGCAATCGTTATGGTTAGTGTCTAGTTATTACACGTGGTTGTCTATCTACATACATATACGTCCAGACACCGAAGGGCAAATGTCATGTACTTACCCACCAACAACAGATATCATACACACACAAATGCATCAGCAATCACAGACTCAAACCTTTTGCAAAGCAATAAACTGTTAGCAACGCACTGCTGGCCAAGGACTTTATTGCTTCACAAAAGCGTTGAATGTATGCTTGTCAATGCGTTTACCTTGATTTGGTATATTAATTAGTGTTATTCTATGAAAGTAACAATCATCATCTACGATTAGACATCACTGGATGTGAATCACAAGATGGAAGCGGTTAGTTGGATGAACGTTGATTATTGTCGGGGTAGAAGCGTAGAATTGGGCATGGTGGGTTCATACATTGCATGTTACATGACAATGCCACTAAGTGTTTACATGTATTATACTTATATGTTATTGTTATTGCCTGTTTTTTTAGCTTACGCATATCACAAATCTTGATTATACAAATGTTGGTTCAAAACTATATCACTATTCAAAATTCCATAATCACACAAATTGGCTGATTTTGAAAGCTTCAACCTACCAAATCTCACCAGCAAAATCCACATTTTCGGCGTCTATTTCAACCTTGGTTTTCAAAAAATTTCTGACAATATAGTTTTACAAATTTTCAAGAAACACAAGAAAAGGGCAGAATGTATTATGTCCCAAAGTAGTTGCCAATAACACATAACTTGCAATGATATGGACAAGGATATTCACCCTCACTTCTGCAGGACAACAGCAGGAAATTAAAGCACTACCATATAATTTTGCAATTTGTATGGCCGAAAATGCAAGGTAAGTAGAAGGTTCAAAATGACACTAAAAACTTGGACTTTCAAATTGAGATTTAGCAAATAGAAGCATTCAAAATGGGCTAATTTGTATGGTTTGGTAATTGTACATTTTTAGCGGTGATATATTTTTGGCTGTCCACATTTTTCGTCACACAGACAGAGTGTGATAGCTTTTGGTCATGAATGCGTGAAATAAATTCTGCATTACGTGTTTAAATATTTTAGAGTTGGTACTTTTGAGATTGTGCTCTCTCACATTTAACACAAACACATCACTCAAGCTTTTCGTTTCTTCAAAACATGATAGATTAAGAGAGCTCGAGATCAAACGAGCTCTTCTCTAGAGGGGGTCAATGCTACACCAGTCAGCTACGCACGGCGCACCAGCAAGGCGTTTCCTCTATTTCTCCGCTCATTAAAACGGACACGAAAGCAACACATCGAGGTGCGATAATCGCAAGTCTGCTTGACCACACCCCAAAAAAATCGAATCTAAATGTCCACTCCTGACTCCTGGCCTTGACATTAGAATCTATGCTGTATTTTGTCCCCCGGGAGGCGACCAGATAACAAAGATATGAACAACGACGGTCACTGTGCTCTTGGGATGTCACGACTCACGGATGACGCTCACGTTGTCGGTACGCCATTGCACAGTCCGCATTTCACTAAATGAAAATGAAGACAATAAATGACAAGAGGCCATGCGCAGTTTACATTTACATTGAATCTCACGACGACGACGATGACGTTGCATTCAATCGCGCAGGCCAAAATAACGCTGAGCGGCAAGCTTCCAAATACACTCGCTTGCAAAAAATTGGCGCATCGCAAGATTGCTTCCGGACGGGGAACACTGCAAGCGATACGCATCGAGGTTGATGCCATCATATACTGATCCAGTTTGTCGTGCTGCGGGCGTAAACGCCAAGGGTCGCGATTCCTGATCGTGACACTGGCGGTCGACCATGGTTTACTACAGCAACACAGGCGACTGCAGGAGTAAACGCGTGTTGTGGTTAGTGGGCACACGAACAAGCAGTCGACACTGTAGCTGATAACGCATGCGATTGTACGTGCAACTAACTACTGTGCCGCAGCAGCAAAGCAGCCGTTATGGTGCACGCCGGTGTAAGATATATTATACAACTGTTCACACGCGTGAATGTGCGATGATCAAGTGTATCACACATCAACAGTGCAGCTACTAGTACACATTCACGTGCGCTCGTGTACGGTATACGTCAGTAGAGCAGTTGTTTGCCACGTGCAAATGTACAATCAAGCACATTACACGTCAAAGGTGCAGTTGTTAGTTAGTACATGTGCACATAAATAGTTAGTATGCATACATGTGCAACCAAGTACACTGCACAACAACAGTACACCATGATGTCACTAGTGCAGGTGCTAGTATACTGATGTGCACAATTGTACATCAATGGTGCAAATGTGTGTACATGTGCATCACAGGGGTTGTGCATTGGGTGCACTGCATTCAGACGGACATGAACTTAACCCAACTAACCTTATCCCGCGACAAGTTTGGACGTGCTAATGCCACACACCTTAACATACGTCACGTTCACAACGACAGATAACAACGAACACATTTCGAAAAATTCACTCAGTCCAAAATATAGTTGCACAACAAAAATTGTGCAATAAGCAACTGGGATATACCGATATACATACATATATATATATATATATATACAGTGGCCCCTTACAACTCGCCCCAATGCTGGTGAATATATAACAATAAAGCTAATAAAATTACCACCGAAATTGGGAATGGCAAAAATATGGTTTAACCTAAAACCACATGCATTCAGATCATATAGTTGTGAGAAAATGAGAACGTGATTTTTAAAATATATTCTGATTCCGTGCCTCCCATGAGCACATTACCCGGGTTTAATTCCGTCGAAGACAAATGGCAAACTAGATTTCCGGTGTTACCCATGCAAGAGCATGGTATGGAAACAGGCCATGGGTTTGCCCAACCAATCACAGGAGCCGACAGTTCTACGCTTAAAGTAAACACTATCGTTTCATTGTCGTAGCACAAAACTCAATAAGAAAAAAGGCCCACATGAAAACCACGATCATAATTTGACCCCAAATGGTTAGGGGCACTGAATGTGGTGGGTATACCCTAGTAGAAAGACTTAATTCAGGTACTATAATGTGGTATCCATGCAGCCACCTTTCTAACATTCTTTAAACGAGTGGGTCCATGCTAGTATAGACTTAATTCAGGTACTATACCGCTATCCCCCCATCCACCTTTTGAATATTCTTCGAACGAGTGGGTCCGTGCTAGTGTAAAGACTTAATTCAGGTACTATACCGCCATCCCCCCATCGAATATTCTTTCAACGAATAGTTCCACCCTAGTATGAATACTTAATTCAGGTACTATACCGCCATCCCCCATCCACCCTTCGAATATTCTTTCAACGAGTGGGTCCGTGCTAGTGTAAAGACTTAAGTGAGGTACTATACCACCATCCCGACCCACCTTTCAACGAGTGGGTCCGTGCGAGTGTAAAGACTTAAGTGATGAACTCTACCACCATCCCGACCCACCTTTCAACGAGTAGGTCCGTGCTAGTGTAAGGATTTAAGTGAGGTACTCTACCACCATCCCGACCCACCTTTCAACAAGTGGGTCCATGCTAGTGTAAAGACTTAAGTGAGGTACTATACCGCTGTCTCTACATTCACGTCGATGACGGTGTCCAGATCGGCCATCTGCAGGCCGGCGTCGGACGCAGCCGACAGCCGGTTCGGCGACGCGCTGCCGGCGGTGATCGCGCGCTGACGCACGCCGTTGGGGCTCTGGTCTCGCTTGGGGCCACAGCATTTGTGCGGCTTGCATTCCTCCTCCTCGCCGCCGCACTCCAGGATGCAGTCCGACAGCTCCTTCGCGCTCAGCTTACTCGACAGCTACAACACGCAGAATCATTTCTACCATCGTCAGGGTGTGTACGCTGCCATGGTAATACACGGGGAGACAGAGACAGCTACCCTGCGCTAAACTCACACAACTATAACACAGAATTTATTTCTACCATCATCAGGGTGTGTACCCTGCCATGGTAATACATGGGGAGACAGAGACACCTACCCTGCGCTAAACTCACATGACAACTACAACACACGTAATCATTTCTACCATCGTCAAGGTTTGTATACAGACGGTCAAAGCTTCCCTGCACTAAACTCACGCGACAAGTAGAACACATAGAATCATTTCCGGCAGCGTAGGCGCAGATGCGGCTGCACAATTACCACTCATAGACGGCTGCCTAGACCGTAACCTGGGCCAACTGTTCTCTCACTGTCCAAACAGAGGAAGGTGGCAAAATTTTGTGACTCAGCCGAGTGACGAGTAGAGCGGGGACCAGCACATAGGTAACGTAGGAAAAGTACATAGCGTGGCTGGCACGGATCTGGGATGACCGTTTTACGGACGAGACTACACGACGATTTGCACTTGGAATAATAGCAGGGAAGGAAGGGAAATGTAATAACAGGATTACATCCATTAGGCCTTTCATTTATTCTTCTACAAAAACAAGGACGCAGCTGCCTAGAAACCAGCCTGCTCATGAAAAGGGCTTACATGCAGTGCCCACCTCCCCTCAAAACCTAGCATTCGTTTATCCTTCTACAAAACCTGGGCAGCCAGCCACGTAATGGCGCAGTGAGCTTTCACGGTGGCGGCCCCTGCCCCCCGGCCTCGCGCTACTTACGCTCTCGATGAACTCAGGCTGGATGGTCGTTGAGTGTATGCCCTCGTCGTGGAAGAACTCCTTCACCTGCCCGGCGATCTTCATGTAGTCGGCGAGCGTGCGGCAGCGGATGTGAGCCGACGCGATGATGCGGTTGCCGGCCAGCTGCCAGACGTGGAACTCGTGCACGCCGAGGATGCCGTCAATCTGCGAGGGTGAAGCCACGAAGCCCCGTGAATCACGCGTGAGGGTGTGCGAGGGGGAGGGAGAGACGAGGGTGAAGCCACGAAGCCCCGTGAATCACGCGTGAGGGTGTGCGAGGGGGAGGGAGAGACGAGGGTGAAGCCACGAAGCCCCGTGAATCGCGTGAGGGAGACGAGGGTGAAGCCACGAAGCCCTGTGAATCACGTGAAAGTGTGTGAGGGGGAGGGAGATGAGGGTGAAGCCACAAAGCCCTGTGAATCACGTGAGGGTGTGTGAGGGGGAGGGAGACGAGGGTGAAGCCACAAAGCCCCGTGAATCACGCGAGGGTGTGTGAGGGAGAGGGAGATGAGGGTGAAGCCACGAAGCCCCGTGAATCACGTGAGGGTGTGTGAGGGGGAGGGAGACGAGGGTGAAGCCACAAAGCCCCGTGAATCACGTGTGCGCGTGCAAGAGGGTGTGTGAGAGGGAGGGAGACGAGGGTGAAGCCACTGGGAGGGAGACGAGGGTGAAGCCACAAAGCCCCGTGAATCACGTGTGCGCGTGCGAGAGGGTGTGTGAGAGGGAGGGAGACGAGGGTGAAGCCACAAAGCCCCGTGAATCACGCGAGAGGGTGTGCAAGGGGGAGGGGGAGGGAGACAAGGGTGAAGCCACGAAGCCCCGTGAATCACGTGAGGGTGTGTGAGGGGGAGGGAAACGAGGGTGAAGCCACGAAGCCCCGTGAACCGCGTGCGGGTGTGTGAGGGGGAGGGAGACGAGGGTGAAGCCACAAAGCCCCATGAATCACGCGTGCGGGTGTGTGAGGGGGAGGGAGACGAGAGTGAAGCCACAAAGCCCCGTAAATCTCGCGAGAGGGTGTGCGAGGGGGAGAGGGAGACGAGGGTGAAGCCACGAAGCCCCGTGAATCACGCGTGTACACGAGGGTGAGGGAGAGAGAGACGAGGGCCAGTACGGCTATGGTAAAAGTGACTGCACGCAAGGATGCAATCGGAAGCTTGGAATTACCAGCGTAGAATACGTACGTGGCACGGAAAAAATTAAAAATTATTTTTCGGGGGCTACTTTTCAAGCTCGCGTGGATGAAAATAGCACTCTAAAATTTGGTTTGCATTGAACTCTATGCAAATTTACGAGGGCTCTTTTTGCCATTTCCGGGGCTCTTTTTGGCATTTCGGGGGCTAAATCGCCCCGAGCCCCCGTGTATTTTTTTCACTGGATGTGGGAAACGAGGGGGAAGCATCGGCTACATGTGAAGCAACCCACAAGACACACGTACTCTGCGGCTATTCTACGTGACGTACTATGCCAATTATGGCCGCATCGTCGCATGCGTTACATAACAGGTTTACTAAAACTCAATACATCACGTTTACTCTTCAGAGATGCTAACACATATTTGAAGCAATCTGTAGTTTCTGGCCATCAAATTGGTAGTTTGAAAGTCACGTAGTGACCCGAGTTTGCTAGGGGGGTCCGGCATGCCCCCCGGAAAAATTTTTGATTCTGAGATGCAATTTCCTGCATTCTGAGGGTAAAAAATGACAATAAATTGACAAAAAAATTTTTTTTCCGATCACAGTGAAATTCGTAGTTTGATACAAACTGGTCGTAGTGGTCAATAAGAAATAGAAATTCGTATAAAATACGGATAAATCGTAGTGGTTGGCATCTCTGACTGCATTTGCTGAGCATCTGTGCACGATCATGTTGCATACATCCACAGTACGTGAGGCGCGGGTAGCGGAATCATCACGTAGTCAAGTAACACTTACCCTCTGTACGAGCTTCGACTGAATGTCCTCTACTTGAATGTGAGTGGGGACAGTCTGAAGTAAGATGTGTGCTGACTCACGCACTGAAAAAACCAAAACACTCGATGTAAGACACGCGTGACACACAGACAGGCTGAACCTGAGTCACGTTTTCCCCCACTTTCACCACGAGCACGTGCCTGGTAAACGTCGCAAATCAACAGGTTGCATTCATTGAGCCAAATCGAAATGGAAAAAAAGTGAAAATCAACAGAGCCTGATGTACAGACGCATTGACCCCAACTGGTGTTTGCGCCATTTTTTACCATAAGCATGCTCTTAGCAAATATGATTAATCTACGACTGCTTATGTTGCCCAAATCGCAGAAAAAAAACTAGAAAGGGCAGTTGTCGCCAACTACATGTATCCCCCGTGATCTAGTAGTAGTAACCGTAGATCTGTACTAGTAATTGCCGTACTAGTACAGTAAGTATGTTAAAATTGGTTGCCTTAGGGGTTTTGGTATATGCGACACACCTTCTCCCCAAGATGTGTAAGTATACGAAGTTTGCTCGAGCTAGGTCAATTAGGAGCCGAGTTATAGAGCGGAAGGGAAATATGATAAAGGTCAAGGTCAAGGTCAAGGTCAATGTCAAATAAAGGTTGCAGTGACCTGGTTTCGGTATGCGACACACCTTCTCCCCAAGATGTGTAAGTATACCAAGTTTGGTCGCGCTAGGTAAATTAGGGGCCGAGTTATAGAGCGGAAGGAAAATATGATCAAGGACAAGGTCAAGGTCAATTAAAGGTCGCAGTGACCTGGTTTTGGTACACGACACACCTTCGCCCCAAGATGTGTAAGTATACCAAGTTTGGTAGCGCTAGGTCAATTAGGGGCCGAGTTATAGAGCGGAAGGGAAATATGATCAAGGTCAAGGTAAAGGTCAAATAAAGGTCGGAGTGACCTGGTTTTGGTATGCTGCGCACCTTCTCCCCAAGATGTGTAAGTAGACTATGTTTGGTCACGCTAGGAGTCTATTAGGAGTCGAGTGATAGAGCAAAGTATAATGACGAACCTTCTCGGCCGTGGTAAATTTTATGTTAAACTTAGAGAAATGTCACGACTATGTTAGAATTTAACTATGTATGCCATCAGGTCCTTTGGACAATTAAAAAACATAGGTGACGCTTCTTACAAGTTTAACGACAGTTCAACAGCTTTGATAAAACATAGGCTTTTTGTGAATCTATGCAATCTGCGGTAAAAATGTAGGCAGGGGATATAAAAAAAGGCATAAAATCACAGGTATCACCCTCTTGTCCGCTCACCTTTTTGTCACAGTACCCTCTAGTCCAAAAAGGAGCGACCTAACGAATGACACAAAATAAGTCGCGACCCACACATTTTGTATTAATATAGCAGTATTTGTGAGTAAGAAGCAAAGTCAACTGAGTTGCGTAGACCACACGCACCTACCGAGCAGGCACCGCTACATACGTAAGAAAATCTTTGTTTAACATTGTCTGATTGTCATTGGTATAGCTGATAACTGATTGCTAACTGATAAAGTAAAAGTTTGTTCAATAGTCTACATTTCATTGTTTATTGTCATTTATGTGGTATTCAGCGTAGCACACTAAGTGAGAGTTTCTACAGCAAGCCTCAGGGCTTAGCTATATTGGTGTCGTAGACCAGCGCTACGGCCGTGCTAGCTGTTAAGCGTGGCAACGCAACCGATTTGATCCCCACCTCAGTCCTTCCTCATAAACTTTATAAGATGCATGACCTAGACATGGCGTATGATCATTTAAAGGACGCTATCGTAAACAGCAGAAGGATTCTTGATGAGAACGAAGTTGCTCAGGCAGCATCTAAACGTCCAGCCATACAGTGGCACCAGATCCTCATATATATTGTAATAGCTGTAGTTATTATCGCAGTCTTATACTACTGCTGTGCTCCCCAACATTTGCCTCAGGGTTAAAACTATCATTTCCTATGTCTCCAGCCCGGCAGTTTATTATATATGTATCAAGAGCGTATAAAAAGTGTCTGTGGCGGCGGCTGGACAGACATGAAACTATAGTATCCCCGCCGACTTCGTCGCGGGGGATACAATTACAATCAACATACTTGATATCAGATGTGAATGATCAATGAACATGGTACATTTCACTCGTATTTCACACTTTTTTATGTGCTAAGATATGCTTGATAAATAGTGATTATTTTACAGACTGGATTAACTTCCCAGTAAGTATGGTTTAAAGATAAATTGGTGAGAATAAATGTCTGAAGCAGTCTTTGGCTGCCTACATTTCCTGACATTGCCAGTACGAACTTAATATGAGAACATACTTACACAGTGGTATGGTCGTGGACATTATAATACAGACCATGAGTATACTGCAAAGAAAAAGCACAATTTTAACGATCCATTTAACGTAAAACAAACATTACATAATTAATATTAACCAACTACATTATAAGATATTAAAAATAATATCTTATAGCATTACAGTTGATTTTTAAAATTGCAAATATACGGAAGTGCAATGTGTGGGGTGCCCAATGTGCACGTTATCTGGGACATACAGTGGTGCACCCACCAATCAAATACATATTGTGCTCCCCGAGGTTTCTACATAAAAGGAAGTTACTGAAAGTTGTCTGGTCCTACGACCTCTCATTACGTTCTGAAGTGAACCATGACATGATACCCACCAAGCCACTACCAGTTCCTCACAGTCCGACCTACTGCCATTCAAATGTCAGTGCAAATTGCTGTCATTGCGAGACGGACTACGTCATACATAGCAACACACTACAACGACCAACTGTAGCAAACGATTACAAGACCCCCATGAACTTTCTCATATGTCAACAGCAACAATTAATTATGCGGAAAAAGATCGGTATATGAGAAGACAGGCACGCAAGTATTACACCCTGACCATCGCTGACTAAACGCGCCATTTTACATCACGTTTGCAGGGTGATTATAACAGTGTTATCTCAGCACAGGAAGAACGTGCCAGGCAGTGCTGTTCAACCACTATCTCTCCCTCTTCTACTGTCTATCTCTATCTTTCTATCATTCTCTCCCTCCCTCCTTTCCTACCTCCCTCTCCCTCTCCCCCTGTCAGCCTGCCTGTCTGTCTGTCTGCCCATCTTTCCCCCTCCCTGTATCTCCCTCCCTCCCGCCTCTCTCTCTCTCTCTCTCTCTCTCTCTCTCTCTCTCTCTCTCTCTGTCGCTTTCACTCTCTTGCTTGCTCTTTCTTTCTCTGCCCATTCTCTATCATTGTCTATATCTGTCTTTCTCACTCCTCTCACTCTCCTTATTCAGTGTTCTCTCTCTCTCTCTCTCTCTCTCTCTCTCTGTGTCGCTTTCACTCTCTTGCTTGCTCTTTCTTTCTCTGCCCATTCTCTATCATTGTCTATATCTGTCTTTCTCACTCCTCTCACTCTCCTAATTCAGTGTTCTCTCTCTCTATCTCTCTCTCTCTCTCCTTTCTCCTCTCTCTCTCTCTCTCTCTCTCTCTCTCTCTCTCTCTCTTCTCTCTCTCTCTCCTCTCTCTGTCTCTCTCTCTCTCTCTCTCTCCTGCTGCCCCAATCTCTCAATTTCTCACAAATAAGCTATAATAAAGTGATCGTAAATATGGAAATTAGGAGTTTTTAATAAAAGTAACATACATTAAAAGTAAAGTGTTGAGTTGAATGCATGAGGCCAACACATATATGTAAGAATATCTAT